AGACATACGATTTTATCACAGCGTACTTTAGCACTTTTAAAGAGAAGAAAGCTTCTGCAAAATACCAAGAATAAGTCTAGGTCTATGAAAAACGAACTATTCAGCGTTATACAAGCTAGTAAGCAGGCGTATAAAAAGCGACTATACAAAGTACAGATCGGAAGCGCTGGAAAAACATCTAATGCGATCAGGAAGCTCAAAAAAAGCATACAAACAGTTGAGGACAAACAAAACATGGATAGACGGTTTAAAAAGTAAAGGAACAATCCTAAGCAATCGCAACGATATCATAGGAATAGCAACTAACTTCTATAAAACACTATACAGCGCAGATTTGTGCGAAAATGCCACTGACCATAATATCCAGCAGTCCGACCTAATCTCAACTCGATGTATAGAATTCACCGTACCAGAAGTTATGCAAGCAATTAATAGACTAAAAACAAACAAAAGTCCTGGCTCAGACCACATCACAAACGAGTCTATAAAATCAGTGCAGTCATTACTGGCAGTACCGCTAACTCAATTGTTTAACCGTATTTTGGAAAATGCTAAAACACCGACACAATGGTCAGAGTCAGATATAATACTAATTTATAAAAAGGGCGACCCATGTGATGTTGCTAATTATAGACCAATAAGCTTACTACCGTGCTTATACAAACTATTCTCATCTCTTATAAACCGAAGAATAAGTATCATACTAGATGCAGAACAACCAATGGAGCAAGCGGGATTCAGAAAGAGTTTCTCAACTGTAGACCACATCCACACTCTGGAACTTCTCATTGAAAAATACCAAGAGAGACAGCGAGCACTTACATCGACTACAAAAAAGCATTCGATACTGTTTCACATGCAAGCATCTGGAAAGCACTAACGGAGCAAGGGATAGCGACGGAGTATATACAAATATTAAAGAGTATATATAGTAACAACACGGGCAGAGTCAAACTAGAGAAAGTCGGCCCAAGCTTTCCCATAAAAAGAGGTGTGAGACAAGGCGACCCGACATCACCTATGCTGTTTATTGCCATCCTCGAGTCGATAATAAGAAATCTAGACTGGGGCACAAGCGGCCTTAATATTAACGGAAAATACCTGAGTCACCTGCGCTTTGCTGATGACTTAGTGCTTGTATCCGAATTAAGCTCACAATTACAAGTCATGATTCAATCATTAAATGCGGCTAGCAAGAAGATAGGTCTAGAGATGAACCTCACAAAGACAATGTTAATGACAAACAGTATAGAAAAGACAGTATCGGTCGATAGAGAAATTCTGAAATATACAAACAAGTATGTTTACCTAGGAAAACAAATCAGCTTTGAAAAGGACAACAACTATTTAGAAATTGAAAGGCGAATTCAACATACTTGGAACAAGTTCTGGAGTCTAAAGGAAATTTTTAAAAGCAATATGCCAGTAACACTTAAAACCAAAGCCATGTCAAGCTGTCTCTTGCCATGTCTAACATATGCTTGCCAGACTTGGAAATATACAGAGAAGATAAAAAGAAAAAGCAGAACTTGTCAAAGGGGCCTAGAACGGAGCATGCTTAACATTAGAAAATTTAATAAAATAAGACACTCAAAAATAAGAAGCGTTACTAAAGCTACTGATGCCCTAAACTATGCTCTAAAGCTTAAATGGAGATGGGCAGGTCATGTAGCAAGACTCTCTGACGATCGATGGACCATAAGGGTGACCAGGTGGGGTGGCCCTAATGGGAAACGAAACAGAGGAAGACCGCTCACGAGATGGGCGGACGACTTTGCTCAAACGGCTGGCTCGAGCTGGATGCAGCTCACCCAGAATCGAGATACATGGAGATCCCTGGAGGAGGCCTACACCTGCGGAAGGGTTCTTGCAAAATAATAATTGGGAAATAGATACAAAAATTAGGAAAAAAATAATAATAATTGTTTAATTTACTTTCTTAAAAATAATTTGTTAAAATAGTATTAAGTTTACTCTGTTCTTTTGCAAGAAATAAAAAGGCTTTTTTATTTTATTTTTATTTATTTTATTAACGCTAGGAAAAATACCAGTTCAATTCTTATCATAATAAGATGAATAGAAAACTGGGTTTGTATTTGTTGTATATTATTATTGTTTAATAATTTTAGATATCAAGCTTTTAGTAGTAAGAAAACCGCGTACTTAAGATTGGAAGTTATAACATCTATAAAATGTAATTAATCATTACGCGGTACTACGGTTCTGACATTACTGTATTGACATTATTGATATATAAATTATATCAAGAGAACAGCCTTGCGATTCTGTAACTCATAGGTGTCATATTATTACACCGTCGCGAGTGATTTGAGAGCGGAATACGCTGTGAGAATTTGAAGAGTGAGTTACAGAATGGCAAGGCTGCTGTTTGCATTTGAAAGTACCATTAAAATAAATATATAACTGTTTGTTACCAATTAATTTATTTTTATAATTTGAATATATTTCCAAGTAATTAATTATTAACCTGTTAACTGTTTTAAGATAATGTCAATTAAACATGGTAAAGTACTAAATAATAAGGGTAACCGGTTTTACTAGAAGAAAACTACATATTTTTCATTAGAAATGGAATAAAGCGTAAAAATAACATTCTGATTCACTATTTTGTGGTCGTAAATTTTACCATAATTTTATTAAAACACCCATACTGCATAATATTATAATAAATTGATTCTGAAATTACGCATTTGTAACAAAACCGTAAAGAATGTAATCTGTGAAATTCAGCTAAAAATTAAAAAGTAAATCCCATATTCCCGATCCGCACGTGCGTGGCTATCCGCATTTTACTCGTATATTTGAAAATAATTAAACAATTTTTAATCTCCGCTGCCATAAATTTTCCTGTTTCCACGTCACTGGCCACAGAAATAAATGTTTGTAACTGTATTTTTAGAATATTTATCTTTTTTAGATTATTAACTACATTATTCATCATGAACATAGTATAAGACGTACGATAAAATGTTACAAATTAGAATTTTCTTTCATTAATCTTTGCCTTTTTTAGTTGCATTAATGATATAAGTATGTTATCCTTATCTGTCGTTATACCTTACACATTTATAATACACATTGACAAGTACCAGCGCCATGGATATTGAAAGAGTTAAAATAAAATTGTTGCAGAGTACCGAGTATCTAAAATAGTTATTTAAAGGTACATCTCTAAAGTTCTTTGCAATATACAAGGCTTCATGTGAAAGCATCCAACAAGAGGTTGGAATTTGCTTATTAAATTTTATACTGATACGTTTATTTAACTGTACTAAAATAAAACATTTGTAGACTTGTACATTGTATTTCTATCTGCACTATTTTTATGTAACTCAACAGTTTGAATAAATTTCATTTCATTTTCTTTCAAAATGTCATCTTTGAAACAAAAGATTTTCTGTGTCAACAACCTGGTTCTTTAATTTTTGTATATTAGCGATAAGATATGCCTAAACGCTTCTACACTCAATGTGAATGGACGTGGGACGCTTAAGCCGGGTCCAGACGAGTGTAACGTGTAATGTAAGATTACGTGTAATTTAGCATCAACAGTGTGGACGGCACACGAACTCAAAGCGAATTGTGAACGCGAAAATATTTCAAAAGCTGTTTCCACTCGGTTGCTACGAACATGCCGAATAGGAAGGTCGGCTTTTATTTTCATGTATTTACTAACTGAAGACCGCAAAAGTCGGAAGCGTCGATGGTGGAAAACTAATTTGTATAAAAGAAGATCTTCTTTACTTGTGGAACTAAAATCTCAACATATAAGCGGTCAATATAAAAACTTTACCCGGATGTCGCCTACTGACTTCGAATATTTGTTAACAATCATTGCGCCTAAAAAATTTTTATAGTATTGCGGGTTTTTTGGATCCCAAATAACAGGTTTTTCTTGATACAAACTAATAAGTTCAAGCGATTGTTCGTCACTCCACATCATGAACGTACATACGACACAACCGTCACGAACGCCGTCCAAACGAGCACTGCGAGCGTCTTTGTGTTCGCGCGAAAAACCGACAGCCGATGGATCAACCCCGAGCGCCGCGCGAGCGTTACATGTAATGCTCGTAGTGCCGTCCACACGTAGAATTCGTGTTACATTACACGGTGGATTACATTACACGTTACACTCGTCTGGACCCGGCTTTACGTGTTGCACTGTCCAAGATCTGTAAAAATAAGCTTCTTGCGAATAGTTACTTAACTAACCGAACGAAAAACCTAAACCTAAAAAAACCTTTGGAGCAAGCAGTGCCGAAATTTCCTTAGAAACAGTGCGTAAATCCATAGATTCGTGGCCAAACAGATTATAAAGGTGGCCATTCAATTAGAATATTTTTTTATTTTTTGCGGAGACTAATAAATATGTAGGTATAAATTTTAATAATATGTCATTACTTCATTAAAAATAACGCTTTTTGCATTTGTAACAGAACTACGCAAGACTAGGTAGATATGTGGTAACTAACTCGCTATATAAAATATCTCCACGCGTAACATTTTACGTGACCCAATTAAAAAGATTTTATTGTCTTAAGCTAGTTCAATCAAACTTTGGATTACCCACCAATTAAGCTTATCTGTACACGAGATTAAACGCTATGGTTGATGATTATATTAAATAAGACGGAGACACGTCGAGGAGAATCTATTACTCAAATTCTAAGTTAACTAAACACCTTGCAAATACTAATTCACTAGCAATATTTATAATACGTAAAGGCAGCAGAAGAGATGTGGAGCTAAGTACAGCACAAGAGCAGTACGTGGCAGAAGTCGGTGGACACTGTAAGAAGAAGCATCTGCCATAAGGCACGCTGACATACGTGATATTAACATTAATCTTAGAAAATCGAATAAACGTTTTTCTCAGCATGAATATGAATAGTAAATAATTTACTGTATATTTTCACAGAAAGAGTGAATGTATTATGTTGTGAAGTTCGTATATTATGTGTTATTTGGTTTTTCAGATGCTGGATCATCTAACAACCCTACAGTACTCAGTCGAAAGTTACTGCGCAATGTTGTTACTTCCCCTAGTATTGCTTACTCAAGTGCGGCATCTAAAGTTCTTGGTTCCGTTTTCCCTCCTAGCCAACATCTGTCTGTTAATAACGTTTGCTATTACGTGCTATTACACGTTTGGAGATTTACCGGATATAAGCAAAGTGAAATTAGTAGCTGGTATGGAAGGATGGCCTTTATTTATAAGGTATAAAAGATGGTTTTTATGTACTCTGTAAATTCATTTGCACTCTGCAATTATTGCCGAACGATTTGTATTGTTTGGCCTCGGTTTTAAAGAATTCATCAAAGGTTAATAAAAAACTCAGAATTCACTTCAATCAAATTGCATTTACATAACTGAAATGAAGCTTAGAAGGGCTTGTGGTGAGGTTTTTTGAAAAAGTATTTAGTACCAATTATTCATTCCAAAACCTCTCAGAAACTTTGGGACTTTAGGTACTGATTGAATATCAATTTACTGTCACTGATTAATCAAATAAAGTTGCGCCGATCATTATACAAATATATGAAAAAATAACTATTAATCATAGTTATTCACGCACTAATCTACAAATCGTGATTGCGTACTAAAAAAATCTGAAATATTTGATAATGTGATACCGGCGCCCTAGAGTTTGTAAGGTTTTGTCTATTCACAATGCCAGACGACTCGTGAGTGCGTTAAATAGTAAAAATATTCGTTCAAAGAACATTGTGGGCCTAGTGGTTTCAGCGTACGACTCTCATCCCTGAGGTCGTAGGTTCCATCCCAGGCACCCATGGACTTTCTTTCTATTTGCACATTTAACATTCGCTCGAACGGTGAAGGAAACCATCGTGAGGAAACCGGCTTGCCTTAGACCCAAGAAGTCGACGGCGTGTGTCAGGCACAGGAGACTGATCACCTACTTGCCTATTAGATTGACTAATGATCATAAAACAGATAGTGAAATCTAAGGCCCAGACCTAAAAAGGTTGTAGCGCCACTGACTTTTTTTTAAATATTTGTTCATGTTGGTGGTTTTGGATAGCGTATAAGGGGAAAGACCTTTCTTGTCTTTTTCTTTGCACTTCGTCTTTTGCTTTTCTTTGCTTTCGACCCCGGAGGTTTCTCTTTCGATCCAAGCTATAACTATATCATAATATTTTACAGAAAAAGAAGAATAGAAGTTACACCACCTACTTTATGAAATTTAAATAAAAATATATTCTGAATACTGTCAGATAGGTTTTTAAATATTGACTCTGTGGTAAGTGTCCATGAAATATAACCTTTTTATACAAATTTGTTTCAGTACAGCAATATTTGCGATGGAGGGCATTAACGTTGTAATGCCAGTGGAAAACGAAATGAAGAAGCCCCAGGACTTTCTTGGGTGTCCAGGTGTTTTAAATATGACTATGGTACTTGTAGCCATACTTTATGGTGTCATGGGCATATTTGGCTACTTGAAGTATGGAGAGGAAGTGCTTGGCAGCATAACATTGAATTTGCCTCAAGATGAAAAGTATGTATTTTATCTTAATACAATTGAGAGGAATTTTGATCTAGAACTGAATTTATAGAATATTATCTGCCCATATTAAATGGGCAGGTAATGTTTTTCATATATGAGTATTTTTCACAAACGATTTTTCATTATTATTTTTGCTAGGAGGCTTTTTCTATTCATTACATAATATGTCAATATTTACTGGATTGTGGTTATGTGATCATATATCATATTGGTACCATTCCTAAATCACATTTTTATTCATAAATATTATAAAAACAACACAAAATAAAAACTGCCTTGCAATAAACTACAAGCTCCCTTCTTATCAGAATGCCAAATCATAAAATTACTGCTTCACGACTTTGACAGTATATGAAATTATGTAAGGTTCAAGGATATCTAGACAGAGTTGATTTTGTCGACGGTGTATTATATCACAATACTTTAGTTAATGAAACTAATTAGGTATGGAATTGGATACATAACATTATGAACGTTTTTGTTTTTAATTGCTTGAATCATTATTATTATAGTATATTATATTATATAGGCAAGTAATGCGGGAAAACATAATGGAGGTGGTCTGGGAAATGTTTTTATATTACTACCATACTACGTAAACTCAGTTTTAAAGCAACTAATATGGACAAGAAATCTAATATTTTAACAATATCTATATTGTATATCCTTACTTATTTGTTTAGCACCTATTTAATGTGCCGCGCTCAAATGAATCCCAAAATCCACTTTTGGGGAGTAGTCGTACTAGCGGTGTCTTTCTAGCAGAGCATGCCTAGAGAGAAATAAATAGGCGCAAATACTAAATAGGCATTGTTTCATTATTTAAATTGTAATAGAAATTTTATATTGCTACACGGTAACCTTAACTGGCAACTTACATGTTTTTCATGTAATCAGTATATCTATAAATTATTATTATTCAAAATGATATTACACATGATGATATATACATTTTATTTAGGTATTTTAAATTGAAATAAGACAAGTTATAAAATATATTGCGTGGGTAAACACGCTTCTCACTGAGGTGTAAATTGAATCTCGTCTGTTAATTATGTTCAATAGATTATTCACCCCAGCCTCGAATAAAGTAATTTTGAGTGTTAAGACGTTGTCCATCGCTATTTCAAATATTTAAATATTAAAATACCAAACACGAGTAAAATCTTTGTTGACTGTTTTGAATGATTTAAGAAAAGTTTTAGTAACATTTCCAGATTTACTTCAGTATGTGATATTTAACAGTCTTGCTCTTCTGGCTTGAACGTGCAACTCTAATCTCTAATGACTAATGGACTTTCTGTCTATGCGCGCATTTCACACTCACTCGCACTGTGAAAGTGAATTTATATTAAAAGACTTACTGCCAAGACGTCTACACAAGTTTAGCTGCACTGCCGGGTCGCTAAGTGCCTTGCGCGTTCAATATAATAACGTCTTTAGAATGCTGTTGGAACCGGCACGATTTTGTATGCAACACGGGCATGTTTTCCGTCGAAAAATAACGGCATCACTTTTACGTACATTGCGAAGCAGTAGGAACAGTATCTTTAGTACAATAGATGGCTGTAATCAGTCGCAAATTGTTTGGCAGTTTGTGCGTATTTAGTCTTTAAGTTGTACTTACTAACTAAAATGGTTCTGTGTTATTACCCTATTAAAAGAAAATATTCCGAAACAGATACCGTAATCGAAGGCCAAGGCTGTTGTAGGCCCATTGATTGGCCAAGTGGAGAATTGTGTAATAGTTGCACCTACAAACATCTTGTAAAAAGAAAACTTATCAATTTAAAAAAATCACACTATACCTACAGCTTTTATCTAATTTCACACACTTTATGATATAAATTATAAATAAGTAACCACTTAAAGTACCTTTTGACGTTTGGAAATGTACCACTAGGTACATTAGTAGCTATCTATAGCTACTAAGATCTCAGTTCTAATTCATCTTCCGATAACTTTGTAATTAAAGTTAGTCGAAGTCTGGATAGAATATAGGCAACTCTTAATTTTGACTCAGCTGTAAATTAAAATCGATTTCGCCTTTAGCGCTCAGACTGTAGAAATTCCAAAATCGAGATAACGTGACTGGGCGTTGCTTTTATTTTGGGCAAGGTACTGTCACCGCACCCCGTTTAGAGCGTTGGTTAGGTCATGGTTTTAGTAAGTATATGAGTTCCAAGCAGACGTAGGTACATCGGGGGAGATGCGTAATTCTTGCAATAAAAAAGGACGCTACTTAATTAATTTTTAAAGGCTTTTTATAATCTCTCATCTACATGTAAGTCTTACTTGTCCATCTCAGATGCCTTAAGGCGTGTATTCACTTTGATTAGTGATTAGTGATTAGTGATTAGTGATTAGTGTGACAAGTGTGGACGGTGAATGATTAGTGCAGGTGATGATTATGATGAGCGTAGTAAAGTGATTAGAAGCGTGTTCTATTTTTTTCCGAGTGAACTGCGAGTAGTGACGTCGCGTCCCTTCCCCCTCACTCGCAGCGTGCCTGCCAAACTATATGACAACTGAATGTATAGGCCGGGAGATAGCGACACAAAATAGTGGGTCATTTGTACCAGTATGGCGGTTCTTCAGGGGTCTTATTATGAAATGAAAAAAAGAAAAATGATGGTCATAGCGCTTGCACTTGCACTCGCACTAATCAAAGTGAATACAGGCCTTTATCGATTAGTGAAAGTATCTTGTACAATACTTCTGCCTACATTTTCTTTACTAAATGTATGGTAATTTATGGTATTATTTGTAGTAGTATGTTTTGCGCTTTTCAATAGTCTTTATTTTAAACTTCTAACGTCCAAATGAAATGTTAAAATGAAAATGATGAAATGAAAGTAGTGTAATTTATGATTATTCATTCAATATGGGATTGCCATCTGTCAGGCATAAGCCTCAGAGGTACCCTTTGCGCTTCAGTTCAGCATCATAAAATTGTCGGTTAAGGTTCTTTAAAGTCCAGTTTACAGAGAGAGTTTTGTCAAAATTTACATAGGAGCTTTGATTAAATTTATTCGTTCTCCATACAGATTACCCAAGTAATTCGTTTTCCAAATTCACGCTTAACGCTGAATATTAATTAAACCCTTTTAATAGTAAGCCTTTTAACAGTATTAGAACCAGATTACAGGATAAAACATTCCATGAGATAACATATACGTATGTAATGGAACGCTAATGGTAGCTAATGAATAGTTCTTTATTTACCAAATGAAAAAAATTAACTAAGTATTAAAGCTCTAACAAATATGTCACTTTTGTCAGTTCACTCAACTCGTAATAAAAAAGGTCCGTTAACCTATGTAATTCATCGAATAATATGAGCCCTTTTTAGAAGGTTAGTTCTAGGCGTGGGCACAATATATAGTAAGGGCGGACGATAACGCTTCTTGACGTACCCATCGGGCACGTCAATACTCAATGAACACACAACCTACACCTACCCAGAACCAAGAATAAATTAGGTCGGATAAACGTGGGGGTAAAAGGTACCTACACACCTTACATACTAAGATAGATCTGCCTCGAAAATTTGTTTTGTACTCGCTCCAAAATAACCTTTTGATAGGGAGCCCAAATCACGGATTTATGCTCCAAATGAGTTCTTACCAGCGCATTATATAACGCTCTCACGGTAGTTACATTCATGAAATCTTTTGATTGTCTCAGTACAAAGCCAAGCTTTTTATAGGATTTTCGAAAGCCGGTCTCCACTAGCTTCATCATGTCGTTAAGTCCAATAGAATCGTTGTGCTAAGTTGTGCTACGTTTGCATCGAAAACCCGTGTTGTTCATCACGCAATTGTGCCAATACATGTGAGAAGACGCTACGATGCATTGCTGACTCAAAAACCTTTTCCTGCCTTGACCATTGTCAAGTTGTTGCTGTATTTAGCAATCGGTCTAAAATCGCCTACGGTCCCGGGATTCTTTTTGCTACTCGTGTAACTCTATTGGTTTTCCATTTGTACTGAGAAAATACTTGATTTTAAACAATGGCTAAGACGGTGAAGAGGCGCTGCCAGTAGTATTTCAGTCTCTAAATTAAAGGGTAGGCCATCAAAGCCGGCTGACTGCGTAGGTTTGTGATGTGCCAGAGCTTGCCCGCAAGGTGAAATCGTCTTAATAAACACGGGCGACGCACGTCCCATACGCTGCTGCCGCATTCGCATCGAGTTGTGGCGGCTTAGTACTGTAAACACTTGAGGAACTGAGCCAATTCGTTAGAACCGAACCGTTCGTTTGTTTGATGATTGATACAAAATCAGAAGAAAAAAAAATATTTATATTGATACTTTATTTAAATAAATTTTTGATGTTGCATTATTGATCTTTAAAAGATATAAAAATTATGCCTCAAAAATGGTTCACTTATAATGCATATGGGGTTAAAATAGTCATCCCTGTCACCTAACGGGAATACCAAACGGGAACGTCGAATTACTAATAACCCTGTATATTCCTTAATTTTGGCGTGTTTTAAGAACAATCAGTGTTTGAAGTTAAGTTTGATGGATTATGATCTACTGGAAAATAATCAATAATAAAATTATAATGTAAGCCTTTGGTCAACATTTTTGACAGATAGCAATCTAAATATTAACAATTTTTCTGTAACAAACACAATAGTTAAGTCAATTTTTAAATTACACATACCATTATTTTTCATATTATCATTATTTTTAGTGTATTAGATTTTCTCCTGAGAATTCCAGAATAAATAGTATGGGCTAAAGGCTAATAAATAGGGGTACCGGGTAATTGCAGGTATAAATACGAAACAGCTATTTAAAAAGACGGTTACAATTTATTCGTAATAAACCAAGTTTAAAATGCTTACTTGAAATTGCAATTTGTTCATTTGTTTTTTGTTTTGTCTGCAGTTGTTTTATCTGCATTTATTTTAACCGTCAAAGATCCGTTTTTTATATTGCATCGCCAGGAATGGAACCTTTATAATTCAGGTTATTAAAAGCCTTCAAAATATAATTATCAAATAGCAAGATGACTTCATGTAAATAATCAAGTTAA